AATTATTTATTGAGGGGGTGACTACAGGGTAGGGCGAACTCAAGGGATAGTTTCAGCTGGAGTTGGTAACTCTAAGTTGATATAATGAGAAACTGAGCAAAACAGATTTTTGTCTGTGTTTATTGTGTATACCGTGTTTATCTGAAAATAACACAGAGTCCTTTTTTTGACCCCTGAAATAAGTGCTTGGCCTTATTTTTGGGGAGGTCTTATTATTTTTGAGGTGCAGAAGGCAGCGAGTGTGGTCATCTCATGGCTGCACTGTATTGCAATATTTTTGGGAAGGGCTTATTTTGGGGGAGGGCTAATTTTAGTGCATGCACTTAAAAGTCCGATTGGGCTTATTATCCGGGGTGGTCTTATTTTTGAGGAAACAGGGTATAGTTTTTTTAAGGAATCATTTTCCTTTGAGGTTAGTGTTTGGGAATGCTAGGAACCGAACCTCATTCATTCAAAGCATGTCTTCTATCCCTGAGTAGCAGCACAACTTTCTATTTTTCTTTTCTATAGTGAGACAAATTTACCATATTTTTTGGAGTATAAGACACATCTTCCCCCCCGCCTAAAAGAGCATGGAAATGTTTGTGTGTCCTATACACTGAATACAGCCATTTTTGGCCTCCCGAAGTCCCGCCCCCACATCCCATTTTTGTGAAAAAACGGGCCGTTTTTCACAAATACCGAAGCATTTTTGCCTTCTCTCAGCTCCCAGCAGCACTCTGCAGGCTTCAGCAGGACTGGGGTAAGGCAAAAATGCCCCTGGTTTTGTGAAAAATGGGCAATAAATGGAGGCGTTTTTGCCTTACCCCAGCCCTGCTGAAACCTGCAGAGTGCTGCTTGGGGCTGAGGGAAGGCAAGCCCTTTTCTTTCTTAACTACCTCTTCGAAATCTTGGTGCGTCTTATACACCACTGTGTCCTATAGTCTGAAAAATATGGTAGGTTCATTTGCATTGTAGTAGATCAAGAGGCCTCAATAAAATAGCAGGTTTCATGTGCTCACCTGTCCCCATCACGAAGATTTTGGAACTGTTTCCGAAAGATGCATGCCAGTAGGGGCCCAACTCTGGCATTTCGGATAAAGGGCTCAGCTACTCCTCCAATCCAGAGATCAATGTTCCTGGGCGTCTTATAAACTTGAATGAACTTCTTGGCCAGCTGAGAATTCTGGAGGACCCGGCCCAGCTCAATTTCATTGCGAGGTTGAGAGAGGCCACATAATTGTCTCCAGGCATTGTAAGCTATAGAACAAGAACAGTGGTCAAAAGTTCTGCTCATTTGAAAAATGATGTTCTCTCTAGCATCATTCGATATTGCAATCTCAAAACATGCTTAAGCTGCAATTTTCTACATTGCTTTTGGTTATACGGCAGCAATCCACAATCTCTGATGTTTCCTGCAAAATGGAAAGACTCTACTCTTGTTACCTGCTAGACCGTGATCTCGGCCACGCTGCATGTTCAATGCTGGCAAATCCAGCCCAAATCTTGCAACTTGTTGGAAGAGTTGGTCTCGGAGACCCTCTACTACTAGCTGATCTTGTCTCAGCTGTTTGGATGGTGTACCCATTTGGCCTCGTAGAATAGGATCAATGCCTCCTGGAAGAGAGAGGAAATAACTTTCAAAACACAGTGTCCATCTGTAGATCTCAACCAAACATAAGGATAAATCTCAGCAATTAAACGCGTAGCCTTAGAGGTCTTCACAGCTGAGCTGAAAAACTCTCCTGACAGTTCTTGAGCCAGCAGAAAACTCAATAGGTATAAAATTTGCTGATTTCCAGGTAATTCCAATCTTTATGATATAGGGCAGGGGTGTCAAATTCAAGGCACGGGCCAGATGGAGCTGCCCTGGAAACAGCAAAAGATCAGCCCGTGGTGACTCTGCCAGCAAAAATGGGCTCCTGAGCTCCATTTTTGGCTGCGATGGCCGCCTACAACTCTCTACCAGGAAAAATGGAGGTTGAGCTCCGTTTTCGCTGGCAGAGAGTTGTAAGAGGCAATCGCAGCAGAAAACAGAGCTTGGGGGCCCTTTTGCTGGCAGAGCTTTTGGGCCACCACAGGAACCCCTGACACGAGTGATGTTGAGCTGGCCATGCCCACCTTGACAACACCAACCCTGGCCCCACAAGATCAAACATGACCCTGATGTGGCCTTCAATGAAATCAAGTTTGACATCTCTGATATAGGGCATATTAAGGACAAAAATTGGTGGATTCCCCTGGATTTCTTATTTCTCCCATCAAACATTACTGGCTAGTGGGAAACACCCACTAAATACTGTCCTTATTGTGGTGTGAAACTGAGATGAGAAAGCTATAGGTAGATTTTGACAGCTAGACCCGCTGATTTAGCTATCAATCAAGATTCAGTCAAATTTTCATACATTTTGTGTAGCTGCATTGAAGCAGAGACCTCTTTATTATTCCCAGTTATTTTTTTTAACCTTATTTAAGTTTAAACATTATTTATTCTTAGAGTATTGATTTATTGATTTATATGTCCACCCATCTCATAGATATGACTCTAGATAGTTAACAAAAATAACCACAAAATAAACAGTAAAACACCCAGATTTGAAAAACAACAATGATAGCGTAAAAGAGCAGCTGAGAACATTTACAACACCCCACATTCAAATAAACCACAAAGCCAATTCACCCATACTGCCAGGGTGCCAGCAGTATGCACCAGTAAAGCCAAGCTTTTAATGTCTGATGAAAGACCAGCAAAGTCAGGGCAAGTCTACTCTCAGGGGGGATGATATTCCAGAGGATCAGCACAATGGCAGAAAAGGCTGTGTTTCTGTGTCAGATGAAACTGTTCTGTAGATGGGACCTAGAGGATGCTATTCTTGCTGGATGTAACAAGATGGGTACTAGACACCAGTGGAGGGAGTTAGTAATCCAGCTTTTAAGTTATGAAGGGCTTTAAGGGTAGCCACTAACACCTTACATTCACCCAGAAGCATTCACTTCTTCTTGTGCCATATCCATCATCGGACGTTGGCGATCATGTTGGCAATCCTATTTTTATCAATAGTCACATGAAAAAGTGCTGCTTAGTTTTGTCCAAACCATTCCCTTAGATTTTGAAGCCATGCAGTTCTTCTTGTCCCTGCACCTCTTTTGCCTTCAATCTTTCCTTGGAGGATTAAGTGAAGCATGGGGTACTTTTCCAGGTGTTGCATCACATGTCCAATATATTCTAATTTTCGCTTTTTTATGGTTTTGATGATTTCCCTTGGCTTTCCCATGTGGCTTATCGCCTCCTCATTTCTGATTTTGTCAACCCAACTTATACGTAACAGTCACCTGTAAATCCACATTTCAAATGCTTCTAGACTCTTCAAGTCAGAGACCAACCCTCCACTCCATAGAGCAGGATAGCATATCAGTAGCTAATGCAGCTCCCAAAGCAATTATGACTCACATGCCAAACAATTAGCATCCACAATTGTCTCTGTCATTGCAATTTGCAAAATTAAGCTTCCACATACTTTTCTTGGGCAGCCCCATATGGAGCATGCTGCAGTAATCCAAGCAAGAGATGATTAAGGCATGAGTTATTGTAAGGCATGAGTTATTGTGAGTCCAGGAATGTACACAACCAATATACAACACAAAACACAAAACTATGCAAAGGCCCTTGGGGACAGAGCTACCATCTACTCCGAGCAGCACCTGTGTATTCAGGAGAACTGCTGTTCAAGAACTAACCAGGTCCATTCCAGCTTAATTTTATGAGATCAGCCAAAATTGGCCGCTTGCTGGGACTTACCTTGAAAGATAACTCTCCATGTTGCAAAGAACTCAGTTTCTAAGGGTGTTTGACTCAGAACCTGGTAACGGTTGTCTAAGCGAGGCACAGTGGGCCGCACCAAAGTATGCCCAAAACGGAAAGCATTGGTAAAGGAGCTGGAAATTCGGGGATCCACAGAGTCATTGTAGCCCCTGTAACGAGGCAGAGCACTAGACTCCCCGAGCAGGGCAGGTATATATTCTGTATAGGTGATTTTCTGGAGCAAAAGGACAAAAAGAAGAATCATGGGCTTATTGGAAGAAAGCAATTAATTCAGGCTAATGACTACTGAATATTAGAGGCAGACGACCAATCTTCCTCAACATGATGCTATGAAGTTTGTTCTTAAATATACATGTTTTGTATATACCTATTTGGCTTCTGTCTCTTTTGCAGGCTTACAACAAGACAGAATACATATAGTCCTTGACCTACAACTGTTTGTTTAGTGACTGTTTGAAGTTACAATGGCACTGAAAAAAGTGACTTATGACCTTTTTTCACACTTATAACAGTCGCAACATCCCCACGGTTACATGATCAAAATTCAGATTCATATTTATGGCGGTTGCAGTGTCCCGGGGTAAAGGGATGACCTTTTGCGACCGTCTAACAAGCAAAGTCAGCGAGGAAGTCAGATTCTCTTAACGACCGTGTTACTGACTTAACAACTGCAGGGATTCACTTAACAAACATGGCAAGAAAGGACATAAAATGGAGCAAGCTCATTTAATAAACGTCTCACGTAGCTGCAGAAATGTTGGACTCAATTGTGATCGTAAATTGAGGACTACCTGTACTTTAAACTGAGTGCATGGATATTATGTCAGCAAATATAGTATGTGTTAAGTCAGTAA